CGACCAGATGTAATAAAATCTTCATTTTAACTACAAATAAGCATTGAAGGATGAGGTATAAATAAAATATCTACCTCTTGAACCTATACTACGTTCTGCAAATTACATTACTGTTCTACTTTCTTCTTAAGACTATCATAGGGATGATCAATAACGGGATAGGTCTATTTAACGAAAATTGGTTTAAGGAGGTCCTTTCGCCACCAATGTTAAATAAAAAACATTAGATTATGACTAAAATTAATTTTTTTCTAATAGTAGATGTCCTTATTTATCTAATAGTGAACTTTTAACTATACCTTACCGTGCAAATTTTTGAGAAAATTTTTTTTTTAAAAATGTGTGTGTTTGTACAGTGTCTTATGAGAAAGTAAGACTTCAACAACAATTTTCGAATTATAATTAATTTTACTATTATTTATTGATTAGATGGAGCAGAAAAAAACTAAAAATAAGGTTTTTGAAATATTTAGGTTTTGTTTTTTACAATAAAATATATAGGTTACCGTGGAATTTATTGAGAAATTATTATTAAAAAATCACAAAAAATTTTCAACTAGGTTACTTGAAAATTTTTTGTGATTTTTTAATATTAATTTCTCAATAAGTTCCACGGTTTACTATATATATTTTATTGTATAAAACAAAATCTAAATATTTCAAAAACCTTATTTTTAGTTTTTTTCTACTCCATCTAATCAATAAATAATAGTATAATTCGAGAATTGTTGTTGAGGACTTACTTTCTCGTGAGGCACTGTACAAATACTCACATTAAAAAAAAAAAATTCTCAAAAATTTGCAAGGTAAGGTATAGTTAAAAGTTCAGTATTAGATAAATAAGGACTTCAACTATTAGAAAAAAATTAATTTTAGTCATAATCTAATAACTTTTTTTTTAACATTTGAGGCGAGAGGTGTGGCGAAAGGACCTCCTTAAGTGACGAGGGTACTGAACTAAATGTCATTAATGTCATATTTTACCTTAGGAAACTCTGACAAGATCAACAAATATTGCGAATACCTTTTAGATAAGGGAAGGCCTCTAATGAAAATGAAGACAATGCTCTCCTCGAAATTTTACAGTTTTAGCAAGAATAGTTTTATTAATATTTTATTACAAAACCATTGGCGCCACAACACTTTCCAATCTTATTTACATGGACAAAATTAAATGTCGCATGTCACGGGAATCTATGAGCTCTTCCCAAGCATTTTCAATAAATTACCATAGTTAACCGGAGTTTCCCGGCTAAAGTCTCTGATATATATTTTTGATTATGAAGCTCCAATGGGGCTCAGGTCAGAACCTTTTTGCTGGCCATGGCAAAACATTTATGTTAGGCATGTTGCAACTAGTCACTGACACTAGGATTCTGCGCAGTATATAATTTGGCGGTCCCAATAATCTACTGCTCATATTGGAACGTCTTTTAATATCACGTTGTTCCAAAATTCCTCCCTATGAATTGAAAATTCATTTGCCAACTGGGCTCTCCTGCACTTATATTCTGCAGTTAAGAAACCTTTGCGGGCAGCAGAGAAGTTTTTTAAGCCAGCTTGTTTTAAACTCATTTGGGCTGTTTTGAAGATCCTAAATATTTCTTTTCGTGCTTTCACAGCAGTTCTAAACGGAATTGACGAATATATTAATTTTTATTAAATACCTTTCCTACACCTTGTCTAAAAGGTCTTCGATGCAACTTTTACTGATATGTAATCCAGCAGCCACTTTACTTCAACACCAATTTTCTTCCAATTTTGCTATAGCCCTCGACTTTTGATCCTCAGTTTAATGTTGCGGCCTTTTTGAAATTGTATTTGACAATTTTTAAGAGCTGTCTAATTTGAATGCGACTAATGGCTATGATGCAAAGTTTAAATCGCACCATTAAATTTTGACGTTCACATTTCGGTTTCAACTGTATTATAAATTGTATGCAATAATTTGTCTATAATCGTGTACAATACATTGTTGTGGGACTAATTCCAGCCATACACTGTCGATTTAGCCTTTTTTTAGGAGATTGATGTTTCTTATCAATTTTCAAGTGCTTTATTTATTATTTCTGCTGTTAGGCAAATTTTTTGGAATATACCTAAACGCCGCGCCGTTCTAGAAAGTGGAAAATAGAGAATGGTTATCAGTACTTCTAGATGCAGAATTTTTCTGCCTGAATACCTCAAAATATCCGTGAAAAATGTTGTTGCAATGAACATCCGCCAAATTCATGAAAAATTGTTAATTAGCTATAGGTTTGTATTGCAGCCTTTTTCGTTTACTAGGGTAAACATTGCTCATTTGTCGAATAACTTCCACTCTAGCGAATTTCCAGTCAAGTATCCTTTGCTTTAAAAATCCATTTTTAGATATTGATAACCTACTTTCAATTATGAAATTATGAATTTATGAGGTGTTTGTTTCTTTTTATGCTCACCCAAATGATAATTATATAGAAAGGCAAAATAAAAAATGCCTCATTGCTATCACAAAGGGTTTTATTCATTACGTCCGTATGACAATGAAATGGCTATACAAAGGTCCCTTAAAAAGTTGGCTGACTTTCAATTAGATGTTTCATATATTTGTATAGTATATAATATACAGAGCGAATCCTAATTTGATACTTTTAAACTGTGTATAAAGTTATTAAAATAAACAACTTTTTCAAAAAAAAAACTCAAACATAATAAACTTAATATAATTTATTCTAAAATGTATCCCTATTTAACTATATTACTTTTGTCGAAAAATGTTCATTACATTCATGCGTTGTAAGAATCATTAAAAAAATTAACATTCACCCGCGCACTTATCCAATAACAAGTTCTCGATAACATTATTATGTAAAATATATTCTTCTAAACGCACCTAATTTTCAGTTTATCATACTAGACATATAAATACACTATTAACCTCCTAACAGAAATCAGGCCACTGCATTACAATTTTCGTGATTTATATTCGTTAGAAAAAGCGAAAAAACAGAAGACAGAAGACATACTTATTAATTCGTTTAATTTTTCTATTGCACATGTTCAGGCCCGGATTAAAATTTATTAATTCTTTATCTGTCTTATTTTTGAGTTTAAAAAAATAATTTCGAAAAAGATATTAATATTAACGACTTTTAGACACAGTAAAAAAGTATCAACTCAAGATTCGCCCTGTATTTTTGCAACTTTTTTTATATTACTCAAACTGGAAAGGCAAGTCTAGTGAGTTCTGTCTTTTAGAACTTCGTTTTATAATTGTCTAATATAAGTAGTAATATAAATCTTCTTCTATTAAGATTTAACCTATGTGTACTCTGTGTACATAAGACAACTACCTAATGAACAAATTGTAGTAATTGCACAGTGATCAAAGATTATTTATTTGCCAGTTTTAATTCCAATATTTGTAAATCTATATAGTTACTTAAAGAATCTTTTTTAATAGCCCTTGACGAAGAAATCTTGAATATTCGAAGGCTGTCTGATGGTAAATGAGCCTAACGCAGAAATTATATTTGTTATTTTTCAATTATCTCAAATTATTACAATACACTTTTCACATTGACCATATTTTATCCCGCAAAAGAATATTCCGAAACTGTGTGATAAATCTTCTACCACAATACACATTTTTTAAATATTTAAACAAATAAAAATCGCTGGGAGCCAGATCTGGACTGTAGGATAAATGGAAATTTCATCGAAGCCCATATCTCGTACAGTACGCTTCACAACTTGAGCTGTAAGTACCTACTACTTGTCCTGTGATAGGAAAATTCCCCTGAATTTATCCCTGAGTTTTTCAATAATGGCTTATCGCAAATATTGCCCGTTCATCGTTCTACCTCTAGAGAGGTAATCCACTAAAAGTATTCCTGAACTATCCCAGAATATCGTTGTCATTAGTTCTTTTCCTTTTCTTGTCCACTGCATAGACTCTTGTTTGGATTTGGGATCGTACTGACACTGATAATCCATGTTTCTTCGCTTATGGATTTAAAGGGTGAGAGAAGGCGTCCCTCTTCACTTTGAACTACAAATTTGTGAATCTCTGAATGCCGAATTTCGCAGGTGAATAAGGAGAAGGGGAACAATCGAGTAGCCCGCACGGTCACCAGACTTAATATCATACGAATTTTTCTTGTGGGGAGTACTTAAAAGTTTTTTTCACCTCCCTACGTGATATTGTACATTTGTAAACAATAATTGATGAGGAATCTGTTGTTATTCGCGCGGACCCAGAATTCCTAATAATAATCTACATTAAAAATGTTGATGTAACATTTAATCCGTCATTACTTGTGTATATGTACGTTGTTATTTTCATTTTTTTTTGGGTTTGCATATCGGTTAACTGACTTATGCCGCACACTGTATATGTACACACACAGTCAATTTTTTTTTTTGAAATTGCGCCTGTTAGACAATGGTCAATTTCCGTCGGACATTCCTTGTATAGGCAAATTGATTAAAATACCGGGTGTCTCATTATATGTTTCCATATTTTAAAGACTTGGTATCTTCCAAACCAATTAAGATATCTCGATACTAGGGTTGCCACCTGTCCTTTTAGAATGACGAGGAGGATTTTTTTTGTTACAAGGATGAGGACTTTTGTCAGCATCGTAGTCCTTTATTCACTTTTTAAAAAGGCAAGTCCTCAAAATGTGAAAAAATGTAGTGAGACAACCGGTATTTTTTATGTTATTTGTCGCTTTTTATGGCTAATTCCAAATCTTGAAAGGATCAATTTAGGAGTACTCAAAGCTTAAAAGTTGCCCTGACATTACGCCTGTTAGCCAACAACAATCTAGTTTCTGCCAGTTAGTAACATATCAAAGATGTTTTGTTACATAAGAATAGAATGTAGTTATTATTATTTTTTTTAAATAATTTTGTTCAGATACCTTAGTATTTATCACGTTAAGTTGTTTGGGGATATTTTTTGTGGTCTTTTTTTCATTATCATAAAGCTGTCAACTTCACTATAATTATTGTTACAGCCAGTCTATCATCTGATGTCACTGCATTATGGCACCACTGTAAGTATTTTAATACACAGGATATCCCTTAAATATACCGACAAACTTTTAGAGGTGATAGGAGACATCAAAATAAACTTTTATAACCCATCTCGGAAACAAAGCGTTTTTGGTTGAAAAAATATTTTGATATTCCCTACCACCCCTAAAAGTTTGTGGGTATATTTATGGGATACCTTGTATAATTCCAACTTCATTTGACACCGATACTGTATTTACGAAGTTAAATTTTTCGCGGTTTTTAATCAGCTGATTTAGTTTTAAGTAGGCAAGACATACTACAGTGTTGTCATACCAATTTATATTTATCGTAAATAAATTTTAAACCAAAAGTGAAAGTTTAATTTAAAGATATTATTTCTAGTGTTAAGTTAAGATTTGTGCTCAGCGGTTACAGCTGCTACCACGGTTACCTTTGTCACTGAAATTGAGACATTGGGAATTATATTTCTGGTTCTACTTTATTAAAATAGTAATAGACAATAAAGTAATAGATTTAATTTTAATAACTATGACAACACTGGTGCCTACTTAAACAAAAGTATGTACCCCAGCCATGTATTTTATCAAATCTGATAGAACAAATTTTAAAATGATTAAAAAATTCTAGTTTCGAGTGAGAATTAAAAAAATACCTTATTTTTTAATAGGCTTTCAATATAGGTTCCAACAACGATCAGAAACAAATCACTATACAGTATAAAATTTAGTAGTTCCAATAATTTACTGCGCAGAATCCTGACGTTAGTAACTTGTTTCTGATCGTTGTTGGGACAGGACCATTAATACATTGGTTCCGTTTGAGCAGCGAATTAAAGTAAAATAAAATAATTGAATTTATAGCGAGTAGAACCATTACTGCAGCTGGGTTTAGTCCCCTTTTATCCCCTTCTTATCCCAATATTATCGGTTCATAATTTTATTAAGAAATAGCTACACCACTCTTGAATCTCACCCTGTATAGTTTTCACTTAAAATGAACTATTTTTAATTTCCTGAGAGTAAAGTACAATGATTTAAAAATAGTAACTATTTATTCTAATAACAAACTTTGGAACCTTTGTACATATTTACAATTATTTTTTAACTAAACTAAATAAGTATATCTCATTTTTTGAATAATTTTCCTTTTAATGTGTATTAACACGAAGAACTCTTGAGAATATTAATGCCGGTTTTTGGTACTGTTATGCCTCAAAACAATAATTGCTTGATGCTTGATACAACAGCGTTTTTTGCATAAAAATGTAAATTTCTTGAAACAAGAGAAACAATGAATGTTACATTACGTTTTATACAAGGTCTCCTGACACTGAAGGATCCCGAAAAGAAGAGCTACATTTGTAAAGTGCATATTAACGGACAAAAACTGCTATGCATGTAAATGGAAGGTATATTAAAATATATTAAAAGGAGATGATTTTTATTTATCTTACTATTACGAATTCAGCGGCTCGCCTGTCTAAGTGCCACAGGGGCCATGTGTATTACACGAACTCTAGCACTGGAGGTACCATTAAACCTCAAGCCACTGCATACATGGAGAAACGAGGTCGGTCATTCATATGCGAATCCTGGGCCCACACCCAATAAGCCAACTACATAGCACTGACCATACGAGGCTATATCACCCGTAAAACAGGATAAAATTCTAGGAATGAATACTGATATAGCCATAACTACATACACATTTGAAATAAATTTTAAATCTAATTATCTGCCCTAGAATCCTGGAATCAATAACCTCCAACATAGGCTGAATTCGTTTGGTATACAGGCGAATTGAAAAACCAAGAAAAGCACCTGGGATGGAATCTTTGTACCCAAGTCGAAAACATCGATTTCGCCGAGTCTAGGAGAATACGCAACAGTGTTTCAGGCTGAACTAATATCCATACAATACTATACAAGAGAAATAATAAATCAGCAAATAACAGGCCATATACTGATAGCCAAGCGACTCTCAAGGCAATTCTCTACCACAAATCAAATCAAGACTGGAGAAAGACTGCCTAGAAGACCTGACAGAGCCAAGTAGTCAAAACAAAGTGACCTGATCCTGTGTATCTGACCACGAAGGATATCAGGGCAATGAAAAGGCCAACGAAATAGCCCGAGAAGGTTCATATAAAGCCATGCCAGGGCTCGAACTCTTCTAAGGCATCCATCAAACAATGGATGCAAAAAGAGTCTCAAACTATCAACGATTGAGTCAGGCATTAAGGAACCGTCGGCTACGTTCACAAATGACCTCTTGATCAAAAACGACAAATCGTTAGGATAACAGTAGGTCTTCTTACCAAACATTGTCACCTAAGAAGGCACATGAGTCTCATTAATCCATCAGAAGAAGCAACATTGTGCAGATTCTGTGAAGGAGCAGAGGATACATCAATCTACGTTCTGTGCCAGTGTGAAGGCCTGATTGAGGTTACTAAAACTAGGTGAAGAAAAGCCACATGCATGAAACTGCATGTGAGAGTCAATGTTAAAGTCTAATAAAAAAGACCAAGTTAGATAGTATTCTATAAATAACGGAGTTTTCCACAATAGATAATGAAAAGGTCGTGGTGAACAAGAACAAATAATGTCCAACTCCTTTCAAATTTAATTTAATTTTTTCTACACCCGTATTATAATAATGCACTTATATGCCCATAATCTGTTTCATAATGATACCCATTATGATACAGATTTTTCATTACGATACAGATTTTTAATCAATAGAAACCTACAATTTTTCAATCAAGCATGCTGTTTGACGTTTGTCTTAGGTTCCTATGTAATTGTTTTAGTTGTCAAAATGTATTAAATTTTCGTAGATAGCTAAACTTCGATAATTATAATATTAAAATGTCCGATATCAGCGATGTAGAAAACTCCTCCACACATATCGGAGAAAGCAGAAAATATAGTAAAAAATATTTTGCCGCAAAAATCTGGAGAAATGCCAATACCCGAAGTAATACCATTAATTACAATTTTGTAGAATTTTTTATAGAAATACGAGTAATTACTGTTATTGTGTTCAATACCAATATAAATGTAATATTTATGGGTCTTCATTATTTATCGGGTGTAGAAAAAATAGCGTATGCAACTCTCATGTAATGGTTATTAGAACACTCGCATAAACCATACGAAACTCACCTTTGGCTCGTTTCGTATCCCGGTTAATGCTCGTGTATTAATAACCATCATTACATGATCGTTGCATAATATACTATACTATTACACTTAATAATGTGATAAATGTTTTCAATTTATGTTATTTCTAATGTTCGGTGAATTTGAAAGCCCTTTAATACTGACTATTTTATTGAATATTTGATGCAGTTATACTTCAATCCTGTTTGAGTGCCACTATACGGGTCTTTTGGTATATTTACCTTTCATTCTTACTAATTCGCTGATTCAAAGGTTTCCAAAATGTATACAGGGTGACTGGTAAGTGGACGTATTTCTTCAAGGAGATGAAAGTAGAGCCTATTTGCTACCGATTAAACATTATTTACCTCTATACCATTCCTAACGCTTTTCGAAATATATTTCTTTAATTCTTTGCGAAGCAAATATTTTAAATTAACGAAATTAATAAGATCCTTTTTAAGTTTCGCTTTTTAAATTATAAGCTGACACAATTATACAAAATATCAGCAGTAAACATTATTGAAATACTAATGTTAACTATAAATTATTTCGGTTTAAACTTAACTTGTCTTGCTAAGTTTCTAATAGTTCCTTTATGCTCAAAAATTTCGAAAATTTTATAGTACCTCAAACGTACAAATTATTGCTAAAAGTTCTCCATTTCATTGTCTTTAAAACAAGTCACATTATTTAAGAATTTGCTCTTTGTTTTATTATTAAATAAATAATTTTTATTTGTAATAGTAACGGTTTTATTTTCAACAAAATTAACATTTATAGCAAGAAAAAATCAAGTGTTACATTAAAAATGTTGTCAAATATTGGTGTTGAAATTTACCTCAACTAGGTACGGCCTAAACTGTTTTTGTCAAATATCTAACTACATAATTAAAATTACTAGTAAAGAAGTAGTAAAATTATTATTTTCTTCTTATAAATTTTGACATTTTTATAATAAATTGAATGTGCATTTTTTCCAATTATTCCTGAATGCACTTTCTTTCAAATAATATACTAATTTGGCACCTTATTTTTTTTCTTTTTATAATAAAACAATAATTACAAAAAAATGTATTTTCTATTTTATAAAGAAACAACATTCTTCAATTGTAATGGAAAAACTTTTTTAACATATTTAATTTATAACTCATTCTTTTTCAAAATGGCTACCTCTAGTCCTTGTAGAGACAGGAGCCCTTTTTCTTATTTCTGTCCTGGTAACTCGATTCGAAAAGTTATGTCGCAATAACTCAGCTCCATTCTGTATTCTTTCAATTTGTTCTTCACGTGTATATACCTCCGTTGCATACATGATTTGTTTTAGGTGTCCCCATACATAAAAATCCAATAAGGTTAAATCAGGGCTTCTAGTAGACCATGGTATAGGCCCACCTCTTCCAATCCATCTGTTTTCCTTATTGTTAGATAATAGTGTACAGGACATCCAGCATGCTGGAATAACATCTGTTGCCTGTTAGCTAGTAGCTCATTTAGATTGTTAGGTAAAAATTCTTCATAATTTTCACAGTTAAAGCTATTGATACCAAATTTTCTTTGGAAACTAATTTGATGCGAATTATATTCATAGTGCAAATTATGAAAATTTGTTAATTCTTCTCTACTAAATTTTGATTCACCAGTCCATAGAATGCCCGTTAAAAATGTAGCATCCTCAACATACGCATTCAGAAAAAGGCCTCGTGCTTGTATAAGGAAGAGGTAGCCATTTTGAAAATGAATTAGTTATAAATTACATTTGTTAAAGAAGTTTTTCCATTACAATTTGATAATGTTTCTTTTACTATAAAGTAGTAAATACATTTTTTTGTAATTATTGTTTTATTATAAAAAGAAAAAATAAGGTGCCAATTTAGTACATTACTTGAAAAAGAGTAAATTTAGCAATTCTTGGCAAAAAAATGCACGTTTTAATTTATTATAAAAATTTCAAAATTTCTAATAAGAAAATAATAATTTTACTACTTCTTTACTAGTAATTATTATGTAGTTGGAAAATTGACAAAAAAAGTTTAGGCCGTACCCAATTGAGGTAAATTTGAACTCCAATATTTGACAACATTTTTATTGCAACACTTGATATTAAAAACAAATCAAGTAATTTTTTCTTGCAATAAATGTGAATTTTGTTGAAAATTCCACACCTGTAATTTTGAACCAATCAAAATACGTGTTTTTGACAGATCACCATGGCAACGGAGGTATTTTAGTGGAAATTTTTTTCTCGTGGGGTACCCAACAGCGAATTATACTGGAAATTTTTTGACGTTTACAATAACAGACCATTTTTGACAGACTGGTTTTTATTTGTTCACATAATAGGTTTAGTTTTGATACATTTTAGTTACAATGCTAAGGTGTTTTCTATATTCTTCGGCCACTTCTTTTCTTTTTAATGGCGAAAATGCAGGACTTTGGATGCTTTGAATTATGTGTCTATGTCTAATAAAATATATATAATATTTAGATACTAATTTATTCACCTTTTTCCCATTCAGCACTTTGAATTTTGCGTAGTTTAGGTGCAAATATTCGTGGACAATTCGGAACAAATTTTCGTTTTTCAAGTTGAAGCCACAATCCTCTATTAATCCGAGTAAGTAAGTCATGGTGCAATGATTGATCATTACATCAGACAATTTCACGCATATTTTGCATAGCGTATGATTTTCAAATCGATTCATTTTTAAACAAATAGGTAATTTTGTTGGTTTTACTTGCTGTGCAATAATCGCAACAAAACGCGAGTTATTTAAGTTTTGAACTGTCAAAATACAATGATCACAGCCTCCTACGATTGATGCTTGCTGACGCTGGTTATGAATTTCATACCATTTTAAAGCGCTCATAACGCATGTTAATAAAAACGCAGAAAAACAATTTTCTACCACTTGTAGTTATTCAAAACTTACGTAAAATTAAAGAATATACTATTTTCTATTTTCAAATGGTATTCCCATGCAACTACAATGAGTAGAAATAAGCAATTTGAAGGCCTAAATAATTGCAGCGAAACATTTTTTTAGTCGGGCCGCTTGACAACTTCAAAACTGAAATTACATTCGAGGTTAGGGTCACCTTTTATGTTTCACTGATTACTTGGAGAAAATAATTTGCATTGTTGAGAAACGAAAAATAAATTTTAAAAATATTTAATTTTCAACCATAATTCGGCGTGGAATTTTCTTACCGAATACCACGCGAGGTCAAATTAATATCAGGAAATTTTTTGACCTCTAGTGGTATTACTAGTGAAAATAAAACTGTTACTCCTACAAATAAAAATTATTTATATAATAATAAAACAAGAAGCTAGTTAGGGGGTGGGTGGCTCAGTGGTAAAGTCTCTGTCTGTAAATCCAAGGGTACCAGGTTCGAATCCCACCGTTGGCCGGGATGTTTTCATTTAATTTAATTATTTAAAATTAATTCTGATGCCTTGGTAGGATTCCCCACTCGACCATTCACTGTTGGTTTCTAATTAACAGTGCTGTTCTTAAAGTGGCGCTGGAAAACAGTAACAACGCCTACACAGAACACGAGGCGAAATAACCAGAGTAGTTGAAGCCGATGACATAAAAAAAGAAGCTAATTCTGAAATAATGTGACTTATTTTAAAGACAATGAAATGGAGAACTTTTAACAATAATTTGTACGTTTGATGTACTATAAAATTTTCAAAATTTTTGAGCATAAAGGAACCATTAGTTAGCAACTTGGCCAGAAAATTTAAACCGAAATAATTTATAGTTAACATTAGTATTTCAATAATGTTTATTGCTAATATTTTGTATAATTGAGTCAGCTTATAATTTAATAAGCGACCTTTAAAAAGGTTTTTATTATTTTCGCTAATTTTAAATATTTGCTTCGCAAAGAAGTGAATGTTTTAAAAATAAATAGATATCTCGAAAACCGTTAAGAATGGGATAGAGGTAAATATTGTTTAATCGGTAACACATGGGCTCTATTTTCACCTTTTAAAGGAATACGTCCGCTTACCAGTCACCCTGTATATTTGTGAACATAATAATTAGGTAAATTATGTTTTCCACATATACTTAATTTCTTTACCTAGTTTACCCTTATTTTATTGCTATTAATATTATCCAGAATAAGATATCTAAAGCGATTAAAACAGAAAATTTAATGAACGCTCTCATCGGAACCAATGTGAATAAATAATTCTAACAAATATAATCTGAATCTTTTAACTTGGTTTTTATGAAACGTTTTAAACATATTTGATGGTTTTAATTAATTCATTAATTCCACTTTAAAATTTAGTTAAATACGATAAAAAAAATAAACAACTTTGATGCATATTTTAACCTTATGAAATCTGCAGTTGTAGCAAGTTCTACAAGCGAAGACAATTCACAAATATTCGTGATGAACAATTATTTTGGGATCGGCATCGATGCTGACCTCTGTTTGGATTTCCACAACGCGCGCGAAGAAAACCCTGGAAAATTCATCAGTCGATTGCACAACAAGAGCGTTTACGTCAAAATGGGTTTGCGGAAGATGGTCGGACCGAAAATGTGCAAGGATCTACACAAAGAGGTTAGGTTGGAAGTTGACGGGAAATTGGTGGAGTTGCCGCAAGTTGAAGGGATCATTATTCTTAATATTCTAAGGTAAGTTTAGAAATAACTAACCTAAATAACAGACTTGTCTTTTTAAAGTGAATTTTAAATAGATTACCCAGACATAACACCAAATCCCAGAGATATCTACAGAATATCTTTTGTGGATATCCAATATATCCACAGGATATCAGAAATATTCCGTGGATCTAATATGGATATCCAAATGTCCGTCTATATCCAGAATATAGAAGATATCCTATCGATATCCAGCAAAATATCTAATGGGTATCTTCCAGACAATACAAGAAATCCCAGAGTAATGTAAATATATTTTGTGGATATTCAATATATCCAATATGGATATCCAACCAAATGTCCGTCTATATCCCAGGATATAGAAGAATTCGGATATTCAGCAAAATATTTTATGGGTATCTTTAGTAGAGGTTCATAATAACCAATGATTATTGAATAACGTCGAAAGAAAATAGCAGAGATATATTTTCAACACTCAAAATATTTTCAACACTCTGCCTCTGATTTTGCCCACTAAGGAGAAAGAAAATCCTTATTAGGACTCTTCAGCAATAAATGGAAATTCTCGACTCCAGTCTCTAATGGAGTCTGATTGGGATACAAATTTCGATCGAACTCAATTACGGCGGGTCTAGCATGAGTAGATGCGAAAGTGGTATCGCCATCTATACTCAGTAAGCAAAATCAGAAATTACATCTAGTGGATATCCACGATGGTTTGCGTTCGCGCCTAGATTTTGATATATTTAGTGGATGTCCATGGGATATTGAATACACCTTAAAAAAATAATTTTAAATATCTGAACGATACTATTAGCCACAATGGTGTAATTTTTTAATAATTTGCTATATAATTACTATTATTTATGGACATTGCATGTCTATAAATTACATCTCATGGATATAAAATAGATATCCACCATGGACTGGACATTCAGTGGATATTGGGATATCCAGTAGATATCCAAAGGATTTGGTGTGCTGTCTAGGTAGAAGCCATTTTATATTATCAACTTGAAAAGTTTCCAACAACATAGTCACTTATACGGGGTGTCTCGTGACTCCATAACGGCTTAAGATCGTATGTCTTGGGCAATTGTAAGTCGAAACTCATACACTTTTTCGAAACTCAATAGTTAAGGAATTATGGGCAATATTAAATTTACCAGTAAATAAATCTGGTAGGCCATGTAATTGCTTTGTTATGGGATATTGTTTATTCTTTATTAAAGAAGAATGACTAATAAACAAGTGTTCCTAAAATGTGTATCGTCATTAGACAGGAAATAGGTTGGTTGGTTGGTTGATTGCAAAGACTTATATATCTACAGGATAGCCGAGTTCCCCTAATTCTTTCCGTTAACGGGGAGGCTGTTACGTCACCGTGAGTACACTTTTGAAATGTACAGAGATACCATCGTCTTTTTTGAAATTACGCCAGTTAACTTTTTCTGTTTAAAAAATAAACTTTTTTGTATAGATATGTATATTATATTTGTTCTGTTAGTTTATTATAAGAATAAGTCCAAATTTATAAACAAAGTGTCCCAAAAAAATTTGTACAAATGAGTAGAAGTTTTATATTATATTTTACAAAAAAACATTATTCTTAATAAAAAGTTTTGCATCACTTGGAAATCCATAATCGAGCATTAAATTTTGTAAAATGAAGGTGCTCTACAGGAAAAATAAAAATAGTAATGTACATTGAAGAGTAAAATACTTTTAAATTTCAATATGGAATTAAAAAAATCAATTCATTTGTTTTCAAGTAATTTCGATCTGCTTTATTAAATACATAATCCATACATAAAGTGTGTATTGGAATTTTTAAAAAGATCTGACCATAGAAATCAACGCATAGCTATTAGATAACTTCAAGCAAATGTAGACTACATGATTAAAGAAATAAACAGTCTTCAAAAAACAAATGGAAATATTCAGAAAACTCTAACAGCATACAATTTTCCTGCCCTCAAAACTAATGTAGGATCTTCTAAAATTCGGTTCCAACAGGATAAGAAAAATCTCAAATTTTCAACACCAACAAATATAAAACTAATTTTTCAGCGAATAACAGCTTTTTTCACAAAAGAAAAAATCTACTTGTGGGCATTATGCATAGTTCAAATCCTGATCTAAAAGCAGCTAAACTGGAAATTATGAAGTCTTTTCATTTTTCTAATTGGAGTCCAAGTACCAATATTCATACAGTAAAAATCACCTTAAAGTCATAGACCCTAGAATAGAAGTATACCAGCTACATACCAAATCACCAGAATGCTATGCAAAATTGTCAAAGTCTCCATAATAAAGTAGATAGTTTAGATATATTAACGGACGATACAGAATATGCTTTGCCGAACATTGGTTAAGTAGTGACAAGCAAAAAATTAAAAAATTAAAAAAATACAATTTAATTTCTTATTTCTATAGAGAAAATGTGTCATGGTGGTGTGGCAATTTATGCTAGAGCTTATTTATAGGTAAAACCAATTGATATTGGAAATTTTTGTGTTTCATTGCAATTCAATTCTTCAATTCTTAACATTAATATTGGTATTATTACAGTTTATCGATCATCCAGTAGTGGTGATATCAATATATTTCAACATAAATTTGGTAATCTAGAATATCTATTTTATAAATACAAGAAAATAGTTATAGTAGGCGATTTTAATTTAGATATGGATGATCTTAATGAAAGGGCTTTTTTCCTTTTTTTTTCTCCTGGGCTCGTCTGACTATGTATCTCCGAATAACACTGAAGCCTATTGGCTTATTGTGTTTTACCCCATGTTAGTTCATAGCACCCACTCTGTCACCTTTGTACCTTGTACAAGTTTGTACAGATCCTTGGGTAAGCAGGTTCTATACGTTGTTGGATCAACTTGGGGTTGTCCAAAAAGAGGCTGTCTTTTGCGATCTAGATCTTCGCATTCGCACAGACTGTGTTTGGCCATTTCTGGTTTCTTGTGACATAGTCGGCACATGAGTTCCCCATTGTACATGCCAATTTTGTTCAAGTGTTCCTTTACTGGGGCGTGCCCAGTCATGAACCCTGTTATCACTTTCAACTGGTTCCTATTCATTAAGAGTAGTTCTCCAGTTCTTTTGGGACATGGTCTGCCTATGAAAGCTTTTCCTTGTGCCTCTTTTGGGGTGTTTCCCCAATAGTTGATATGTTGTTCCCGAATCCAGTCGTTTATGAAACCCCGGACTGTACTTTTTGGTACTCCTGGGTTTGTGTCTGGTTCCGGTGTTTCTTCTGACCCTCTTTTTGCAAGTTCGTCAACCTTTTCGTTGCCTTAGATCCCTTGGTGACCTGGCACCCAAAATAGTTTTACTCTATTTCGGTCTGCCAGTGTTCTTAGTTCTTCGATGCATTCCCATACCAGCCTCGACGTAATTTTTTGACTCGATATGGCATTAAGTGCCGCTTGGCTGTCTGACATTATTTGAATATGCTGATTTTCGACAGCTCTTTCATTGTTCGTTTTTGCACATTGCAAAATTGAGTATACCTCGGCCTGAAATCCCGAGGAATGTATTCCTATAACATAGCTATCAGGGTTTTTGGAGAATACTCCTGCCCCAGTGCCTTTCGCAGTCTTAGACCCGTCTGTATACCAGGTTTGTTCCTGTCGTTGGGCATTGAGCTCCCTTATGGTGATCTTTGCTCTTTCCTGTATTAAAACCTCAAATGGAGTATTAAAAGAGTACCTCTTGGTTATGTGGTCTGATCTCATGTCTAGCACGTCTCCTGTCACTAACCTTGAGATACTCATGTGACCTGGCCTAATGCCAAGATTTCCCAGTGTATTCCCTAATCTGTAAGCACCTAATCTTGCCTCCCCTTGTATCACATAGTGAAGAGGTGGGAGTCCTATTAGTGCTTCCATTGCAGCAGTGGGGGTTGTTTTAATTGCCCCCGTTATTCCGAGGCAGGCAAGTCTTTGTACCTTGCTTAGCCTCGTTATTGCTTTCCTTTGCTGTGTCGTTGGCCACCACATCAAAGCTGCGTATGTTATTATCGGTCTCATCACCATGTTATAAAGCCAATATACCATGTCTGGTTTTAACCCCCATTTTTTTTCCAAAGGATCGCCTTGCCATCATTAACAAGGTTTCCGCTCTCATTGTGGTTCTTTCTAGATGCTGGTTCCAGGTAAGTCTCGAGTCAATAATAACCCCAAGATATTTTACCTCCCCCCTTAAGCTGGATGCTTGCACCTCTTAGGTTTAGAGGCCCTAGTCCCTCCAATTTCCTCCTGCGGGTGAATGCAATTATGTCAGATTTGTTTGGGCTAATGTTTAGTCCTTCCGCTTCTGTCCATTTTGTTACTATATTTAGAGCCTCTTGCATTGGATCTCTTACTATAGTATTTTATTTTCCCTGTGCCATGATACTAGATCATCGGCATATTCCAGGGTTCTATGTCCCTTATCTTTGAGAGCCCTAAGCAGCCCGTCCACTACAAGGTTCCACAGGAGTGGAGACAGCACTCCACCCTGTGGACATCCTCTCGCTACCCGTGCCGCTATTGTCTCTCCCATAAGGGTTGTGTGTATAGTTCTCTCCCTTAACATAGAGTCGATCCAGGACACGCATGTGTCCTCGATTCCTCTGTGTTTGAGAGATCTAATGATCGATTCAACGGAGGTATTGTCAAAAGCACTCTCGATATCCAAGAATGCTCCCAGTATTACCTTCTTGTTTTCCAGTGTGTTCTCTACCCTTTTTATTAATATGAATGAAAGGGCTGGTCATTTAAGAAATATTTTAAGTATGTATGGACTTTAAATAAATTTAATTCATACCCTAACAAGGATCACTCCGACATCAAGATCACGACTTGATAACATTGTTACCAAGACTTAATGCGGGTGTGTTAGACACTGATATTGGAGATCATCAAGCACTCTACTTGTCACTGTTAAATAGTTGTAAACCAGAAGTACCAGGTATAAAATAAAGAATAATTAATGTTAAAAGAATCGATGCATTTGCG